CACAGACTGAGAACATTTTGCAATACATGTATCTGGCAAAGGACTTGCATCCTAAATATACAAGGAATTCTTAAAGCTTGATGAGACAAACAACCCATTTTTTACGGGTAAAAGATTTAGACACATCACAAAAGAAGATACACAAATAGCCAATAAAATAAGGACATGAAAAGATGTGCAACACCATTCATCATTAAGGAAATGCCAATTAAAGGCACAACGAGCTACCAACACTCACAAGAATGGCTAAACTTTAAAAGAATGACGAGAGGATATGGAACTGGGAATGTAAAATGATACAACCATTTTGGAAAATAGTTTGGTACTTTTTCATAGAGTTAAACACAAATACGCATTTCAACCATCATTTCTATCAACTCAACCCAAGAGAAAGAAAGTATATGTCCACACAAAGACTTGTAGACACGAGTATTCACAGCAGTTTTATTCAAAACAGCCAAAAACTGGAAACTGGAAAGAATCAAAATGTCCATCAACAGGTGTGTGCACAGAGAGTAAACGGTGGTGTATCTATGCGGTGGGTACCAGACATTCGGCAACAAAGACAGAACGGACCACACATACATGCAGCCATGTGAATTTCCAAAACTTCTGGACAAAGAAGTTAGGCACAAAAGTGTTCATTCTGTACGCTTCCATTCATGTGAAATTCTTAAAAAAAAAAAAAAAAGGGACAGTGAATCTATAAAAACAAAAAGTAGGGACTTCCCTGGTGGCGCAGTGGTTAAGAATCCCCCTGCCAACGCAGGGGACACGGGTTCGAGCCCTGCTCTGGGAAGATCCCACATGCCGCGGAGCAACAAAGCCCATGCGCCACAACTACTGAGCCTGCGCTCTAGAGCCCGCGAGCCACAAATACTGAGCCCGTGAGCCACAACTACTGAAGCCCGTGTACCTAGAGCCCGTGCTCCGCAGCAAGAGAAGCCACCGCAATGAGAAGCCCGCGCACTGCAACAAAGAGCAGCCCCCGCTCGCTGCAACTAGAAGCAGCCCGTGTGCAGCAATGCAGCCAAAAGTAAATAAATAAAATAGACAAATTTATAAAAACAACAACAACAAAAAAAAACAACCCAAAAAGCAGATCAGTGATTGCCTGGGGAAGGGAATGGGGATGATGAAAATGCTCTACATCTGGATTATCGTGGCTTTTACAAGGATGTATACATCTATCAAAACCCACCAAATTATTTTATATAGGTGCCTTTTATTGTAGGTAAACTATACCTCAGTAAAGTTTAATGCAACAACAAAAAAGTATACAACCTAAGTTTTCTCCTGGCCTCTAACCCTGAGTGGTCTGGCCCCTCCTGGCCTTGCTGTCCCCTCCCACACCTCTCTCCACTTCCCACTCAGCACCAGACCGCTTCCTGCACCTCAGAAACCTCGGCTCTATACCACAGAGGCTGGGAGCTGAGCTCTGGAACCAGACTCTGCGTCTAAAGTGGCAGCAGCTGAGGGGATTTGTCAAGTTTCCTGACCTCTTTTAAGTCAGTTTCCTCATCTGTAAATGGAATAACAGTACTTTCATTTTAAGGATCTTATGAGGATTCAATGAGTTAGACAACAAAGGCATTTTTTGGTGCCTAGCACAGGAATTGGCAAACTACAGCCCACTGTCTGTTTTTGTATGGCCCATAAGCTAAGAATGGTTTTTACCTTTTTTAATGATTGGGGAAAAAATAAAAAGAATATTTTGTGACACACAAATATTATATGAAATTCAAGTTTCAGGGTCTATCAATAAAGTTTTGTGGAAACAGAGCACATGTACTTACGTATTGTCTGTGGCTACTTTTCCACAAATGGGCAGAATAGTTGCGAAAGGGACCATATGGCCTGCAAAGCCTAAAATACTTACTCTCTGGCCCTTCACAGAAAAGCTTTGCAGACCCCTGATCTACCATCCTCATCATCACTCCTCCTTTGCATCAGCTGTGCCTTCTGTCTGGAAAGTTCTTCCACCAGATCTCAGAATAGCTCTTTCCTTCTTGTAACTCAGATCTCAATTTAAAGTGTATTTTCAACATTTTATTTATTAAATTATTTTATTTTTGGCTGCATTGGGTCTTTGTTGCTACGCGCGGGCTTTTCTCTAGTTGTGTCGAGCCGGGGGCTACTCTTTGTTGCTGTGCGTGGGCTTTTCATTGTGGTGGCTTCTCTTGCTGCGGAGCACGGGCTCCAGGCGCGCGGGCTCAGTAGTTGTGGCACATGGGCTTAGTTGCTCCGTGGCATGTGGGATCCTACCGGACCAGGGGTCAAACCCGTGTCCTCCGCTTTGGCAGGCAGATTCTTAAATACTGGCCACCAGGGAAGTCCCTCAGATCTCAATATCAGCTCCTCAGAGGTCTTCTGTGGTTACCTTGTCACTCCTGTCTCTTCACCCTGTTTTCATTTTTGACTCAATTTACTGTTTTCTTCCCTGAACCCGGTGCCTGACTTGCAGGAAGCACCCATAACCACAGGAGCACATGCATTCCGGGCACTGGGGGACAGCACAGAAGGGGACACAGGAGACGGTGAGCTTGGGACTGAGCCGGCTGAATGGAAAGGACCACCACTCAGCTGTGTGTGCAGCTGCGTCAGGGTCGGGCTCAGCACTGGGATGCAGAGCCAGCGATGGTGACACATGCATTGCTCACCCACCCGGAGATCAGCCCGGAGGAAACACAGGAGGCCTGTCGGCAACTGCAGTGCTCACCGCGGGCCCTGCCAGCGCAGCGAGGGCCATTCCAACCTCCCTGACAGTGGGGAGGGTTCTGCAGGGGCTTCATCTGAGTCCTGGAGGCTCCCGGGGTTCACCTGCAACTACACTACGCTCCTCCTTCCAAAACGGGAGGAGGTTCTAGGGGGTGGGTGGGGGTGAGACTTACAAAGCACCCCACACAAAACCAACACAACAGCAACGGTCAGATCAAAGAATGACCAAGGTCTCGCGCAGTCCTGGCAATCTCTGTATTTGTCACAGCCGCCCAGGAAGGAAGCAGTCCAGAACCCGCCGTCCGCCGTCGGGCCTCACCACATTGCCCACACAGGGGTCCTGGCAGTGGAGCCCATGCTCTCCTCCCCGGGACCCTCTCCCCTGGGTGTCTGTGGAACTAGATTTTCCTTCACCTCTCTGTCTTTTTTCTCAATCTGATGTGCTGACAAGACCTTTCCTAAGGCCACAGAGCTTGGAAAGGGACAGGGGAGGTGTACTCCCTCCCCTCCCCTCCACCACTATTGCAGGAGTTCAGAAGGCTGGTGGTCTGACACACACATGGCAAGGTGATCAGGAGTTGGGCAGGGGACGGGGGCTAGTGTGCAAAGACAGGCATGTCATTCTGCAGTCTGTGAGGAAGGATTTCCAGGAGGAGAGGACAAGAATCAGACCTGCGTTTCAGACCCATCACTTTGGCTCAGGTGAGAAGGGTGAAGTCGAGGAGCTGAGACACAGCCAAGAAGAGCAGCCAGGAGCAAAGGCTACCGTCCTGGATGGAACTGAGGAGCCACAGAAGCAGGCTATATGGTAGAAGGGACGGACAGGAGGGCCAGGATCCGGGGTACTGAGGAGGAAGTTCTGGGGCGCTGGAAGTGAGGGAAGACACTGCCACCCAGACATCCTGCTTTAGTGAACAGGTGGACCATGGCAGAGGCACTGGGGTGGGGCACTCTTGGGGCACAGATGGTGTGCTGGGTCACCAGAGGTTCATCCGAGACTGAGGTTCCAAAACTGCACACAGTGGAGGCAAACTGTTGATAGACACCAGAGATTCAAAATCCCTAGAACACAGACCCCAACGCTGAGCCCATAGATACGAGAGCCCCCTCGCTAGGTGCCTGACAGCCCAGGCAACCTTCTGGGGAGGGCAGAGTCCTGGCACAGACTAAGTAGGTAAGGGATGAGGCCAGTGGAGAGGGTCAGTGGAGAGCCCACAGGAAGGGAGGACAGACCTGCTGACGCTGCCCCATTCCAGCTCTGAGTAAGAGCTGATGGGGCAGGAGAGGCGGGGTACGGGAGCTGGCTGCTCAGAGCGCCACACACCCACCAGGCAAGGACCCCAGCGCCAGCCCCGCACAAGATCCTTCAGGCAACCACCAGCCCCTTAGGCAACTCACTCCAGCCTGGGGCTCCCCTTGCCGCCCCTGAAGTGAATGAGGCGGCCCAGCCAGGGCACAGAGGCCCTTTACACCTCTCCCAGGGAGAGCTCCCCAATCCTGGTGGGGAGCAGCTGGGGGAGCAAAGGCAGGGACTGAGAAGAGCAGTGTGGTGCCCCTGCACCTCCACCCCCAAGCTAAGGACCGGGAGGAAAAGGAAGGCCCACAGGTTTGGGGAGGTCCAGCCTTTCTCCCGCTTCCCCAAACCTGGAATGACTCCGTACACACCTCCCGTCTCCGCACCCACGAAAATTAATCCCACAGTCGCCTCAGCCTCTGCTCCAGGACGGCGAGGGGCCCCAGCCCGGCGTGGATACTCCCTCCCAGGCCCGAGCGCCTCCGCACCAGCACGGCCGGCACTTACCACACAGCAGCTACTATTCCCGCCCGGACACCGATCTGTGAGCTGGAGCCCAGGACCCCCCCCACAAGTGAGGTCACTTGAACCCCTGGAAGTTTAAGGAACTTGCCCCAGAAAGGCTTCAGTTTCTCCTCTGGCCTAACTCCAAAGCCCAAAAGAAGCCTGGCAAGTCACTTATCCGCAGGCCTTTTCCTCAGCTGACATGGAGGTAACTTTAGCGCTGCCTACCTGACCAACAGGTTGCAAGGCTGCAAACAACTCCACATTTAGCTAAAACGTGAACAGCCTACCGGCGGCCTTCACAGCCTGCCACTCCAGGAGCCTTCCTGACCCTCAGCACCGGCTGCCCGGGCCTCACCCACCTGCGCCCAAGCGGGGCCTGGACAGCCTCCCGCCCGGACCCGGGCCTCCCCGTCTCCCCTCTCCCCCTCCCACCTCCGGCGCCTCCCCTCCCGCCAGCAGGCCCCGGAAGTCCGCGCCTGACCTTCCGCCTCGCGCCAGCAGCCACCGCGCAGTCGATCGGAGCCCGTCTGCGGGTCCGTCAGCCTAGCGCTCCTCCCGGCGCCGCGGGGGCGGGCCCGCACCCGGCCCTCGCCATGGCAACGCGATACTTCCGGCCCGCGGGTCCCGGAGCCGGAAGCCGCGGCTGCCAGTGGGAGCAGGGGGCGGGCCCGAGCCGCGCGGGGGCGGGCCCGAGCCGCGCGGGGGCGGGGCTTGCGCAGAGCAAGTAGAGGGAGGTTGCTGATCGCACGGTGCAAACGTCTGTGGTAGGGGCGTCGTCGGCCCGGTGGGGCCCGGTTGGGGCGGGAAGGGCAAGTAGTCAAAAGGTTCCCAGGAGGGTGGTCATCTATTTACGCTGAGCTTTTAAGGAAGGGTCAGAGTTCACTCGACAAAGCAGGGGCATCACTGGTGTAGAGAAGAGCATGCGCAAAGGTGGAAGGACCCGGTGGGAAGAATTGAGGTGGTGGTTTAGGAGGGCGGGGGCCCGGTAGGGTGGTACGTGCGGTCAGTGATGAACAGTCAGGACATGAGGAGCCTTGAACGCCAAACCAAGAGCTGGGCTTTATCCTGGAAGCACAGGAGGACCAGTGGAGGAGAGGGGGTGACTTAAGACCTGTTGGAGAAAAAGACCTCTATGACCGAGTGGCGCTAGGAAGCCATAGGTCGCCTGGTGAGACATAAGGACCCCTCAGCTAGAGCCCTGGAAACAAACAGGAGTTGAGGAGGTGACATAGGGATCCAGAGGAAGCCAGGTGAAGTCTGAAGAAAGAGTCTGAGATAGTGGAGGGAGCCATGTGGTACCCCACATACATCATCCATCTCAGCTCCAGGCTTCCTCCTCCACTGCACCCATCACTCACCCCTTCCCTCAGCACGTCAGTGAGAGCTGGGCACCCACTGTAGGCTGCAATTGGGTGTAAGGTGTGTAATTGGTGTGTGTGTGGAAAGGGTGCTGCTGCCGCCCAAGAAAAGCCGAAATCTTAGAGTGAAGCGATAGAAAGTGTCTCCCTGTGCTTCTGTGGCTTTGCTCGGGTCTGGGGTCCTAGTAGCAACACCCCACCACTGCTGGTGTCCCGGGCCAGATAATCCCTTTGCAGACTTGCCCAGTCCTCACCGGGGGGAACCCAGGCTTTGGGTCAGGGTACAGAGCACAGGCTCTGACTGACTTGAGGGGCAGAGCCACAGACTAGATGGCCAGGGAGGAGGTCAGGGGACAGAAGGGTCTGGGACCCAGGAGGACCATGTCTCTGGGCAGCTGCCAAATGCATTTTTCCAGAATCGCACCTTTGGGCCAGGCCCTGTGCCTGCTAAAGCACTCAGAAGCTCTGGCCAGGGCTGACCAAGGGGTGCTGGCCCTGCAGGCCTCCCCAGGCTCAGCCTCCACTCTGTCTCCCAGAGTGCCCCTCCTCTACTCAGGCCTACCCCCCTCCTGCCTGGGGAGCATCTCCCTCCTAGCCTAAGCCACAGGGCATTGGGGCTGCCTGGGAAGCCCTGTGTACCCAGACATAACACACCTGTCCTCACTCCTGCCCAGGGTGATGCCAAGTGGTTCTTGCAGGCTCCCCTGGGCAGGCACCATGACCCACAGGGCTGTGTCCTCAAGGCCTGGCCCCAAGTGGTAGCCAGTAAACACCTACAGCTATAAGCCCTCTCCTTCCATGCACACCCACCCAGGGGCACTGCCTGAGTGCGCCAGAGGACCAAGTGGCATCCTCCTCAGGGGACAACCTCCAGAGTATCTGGACCCAGAGGACCAGAAGAGTAGAGAGGCAAACATACTTCCAGGAAGTTCTCTCAAGCCAGGGGGGTCCAGCTTACCCAGGACCAGTGAGGTGCACAGGGCATAATGAGGGACTATTGTTATGGTCATCTCCTAGGACCCACTGTTGACCAGCACCAAGGAGGGAAGGAAAGTGACCTCCAGGGCCTGGGGAGCCTTCTGGGGCCATGCAGCAGCCTGTGGGAAAATCCCTTGAGTCAACTGTATCCCTCTTTTATTTCTGAGGTTTCCTCTAGGAAGCCCTCCCAGACCACCACCCAAGTCCTGCTAGCTGCTTGGCCTTGAACTCTGGGCAGGACCCACCCCTTCTTGGCGGCTCATCTTGGACCAATCACTCCCCCATCTGTTAAATGTGAACCTGGGATCTAGATGGGATAAAGTAACTGTGGGTCATAAGACCCTTCCAAGGGCTTTTCCTTACAGCTCTAGGGGGAGTGCCAAAGGCAGCCCAGGGGTGAGGAATGAGGCCTGGGGGGTGGCCGCCTGCAGCCCCCACTGGAATCTTTCCTGACCCTCCCTTCCAGATTAACTGAAACCTGCTAATTGTGGCTGCCCTCTGCACGCTCCCCTCCCCCACCGCGTATTTCTACCTCCCTTGGCCTCCCCTCCCCTCCCCCTTCCATCCGAATGATAAAGGGCTTGGCCCGCCAGCCCCCGCCTGGCCTCAGGCCCCAGCTCTTCCTCACCACACTACCACACTGCCCCAGTGCCCTGCGCCCACCACCCGGCCGGACCCCTGCCCACGTTGCCTGCTTCCTCTGCATGGGGCCCTGCAGCAACCCCCGCCTGGGGCTCCCCGGGGGGGAGTCGCCCTCCCAGCCCCCCCAGAGGAGGAAGAAGAGATACCTGCGGCATGACAAGCCCCCCTACACCTACTTGGCCATGATCGCCCTGGTGATCCAGGCCGCACCCTCCCGCAGGCTGAAGCTGGCCCAGGTGAGAGGATCCCCGCCCGCTCTCCCTCACACTCCGTGATCGGACCTGTCCCCGGAAGCGTCCTCCACCTGGCCCCTGCTCGGAGGCTCAGGCTCCGGCCTCCACCCCGACCTGGCCCTACCCAGCCATGCCAGTGGGGCCGGTCCTGGCCTGGGCACCCAGGGAGAGAGCTAAAGCACTCAGGCAGGCCCCGTCCCGGCGAGGGGGGCCACGCAGAGGCGAGGGGAGGGGCAGCGTGGCCCCCCGCCCACGCGCCCCGGCTCACGGCGCCCGGTGCCCGCCCGATGGTTTCAGATCATCCGTCAGGTCCAGGCCGTGTTCCCCTTCTTCAGGGACGACTACGAGGGCTGGAAAGACTCCATCCGCCACAACCTCTCCTCCAACCGGTGCTTCCGCAAGGTGGAGCAGGGCGAGGGTCGGAGCCTGGGGGCGGGACGCGGGCGGAAATCCTGAGTATCCGGGGTCGTACAGCCCCACCCAAGCCTGCCCCCCTCCTCCACCAGGTGCCCAAAGATCCCGCGAAGCCCCAGGCCAAGGGCAACTTCTGGGCGGTCGACGTGAGCCTGATCCCAGCCGAGGCGCTGCGGCTGCAGAACACGGCCCTGTGCAGGCGCTGGCAGAGCAGGGGCGCGAGGGGAGCCTTCGCCAAGGACCTGGGCCCCTATGTGCTGCATGGCCGGCCCTACCGGCCGCCCAGTCCCCAGCCGCCGCCCCGTGAGGGCTTCAGCATAAAGTCTCTGCTAGGGGACTCCGGGGAGGGGGCGCCGCCGAGCAGCCCAAGTCGGTCAGGCTCAGTTCGCATAGGGGAGGAAGAGGCACCCACTCCAGTCCCCACCTCTGAGAGGCCTCTGTGGCCCGTCTGCCCCCTCCCAGGGTCCCTGAGAGCAGAAGGGGAGACTTCCCAGGGGGGAAACAGCAGGCCCTCGCCCCTCTCCCCTGAACCCAGAGCCTGGCCCCTGCACTTACTGCAGGGTACCCCAGGCCCTGGGGGACTCTCTGGTGGAAGCCACAGGGCCTCCCTTTGGGGGCAGCTACCTACCTCCTACTTGCCCATTTACACTCCCAACGTGGTGATGCCATTTGCCCCACTGCCACCCACCTCCTGCCCCCGGTGCCCCCCCTCAACCAGCACAAGCTATTGGGGGGTGGTCCCTGAAACCCATGGCCCCCCAAGGCTGCTCTGGGATCTAGACGCCCTCTTCCAGGGGGTGCCACCCAACAAAAGCATCTATGATGCGTGGGTTAGCCACCCCCGAGACCTGGCTGCCCCTACCCCAGGCTGGCTACTCTCCTGGTACAGCCTGTGAGGCTCCCAGGGCAGGGGCTGCTTTCCTCTCCCACCCTCTCCTGCCACCCTTAGGCCTGTTGAGGGGAAACTAAGGTATGTGTGGCTCCGCCTTGAGACACGAGGTACCAGCCCTGCTGAGAATCCGCGTGTTTATTGGACACTCCCGAAGAGCTATGGCCCAGCTGGGCACCACCGCAGCCCTGATGGTCAGTCATACCTCTCTTACCCCGAGAGGCAAGGCTGGAAGGAACAGGGCTGTGCTTGAAGTAGCCCTTCCTGTCCCCTTCCTGGTCCCACCTTCTCCAGCCCTCTGTCCATCTATCCATCCATCCATCCATCCATCACCATCTGTCACTTCCCCTCCCTGGCTCCGGGCTGGGGGAGGGTAGATCTGATGACCACCCCAGCCGCTCCATCCCTAAGTCCTGTCCCCCCTCCACTGTTGCCTGGCAAGGAGGTAGCACCTTTGGGGGGAGGGGACGGAGAATGGAGACCCTACCTGGTTTTGGTGGTGGTAGTGGGGAAGATAAGAGTAAAGGAACAAACGACATTTTAATGCAAGTCTGATGTTTGGTGATGGGGTAGCGAGTCTGGTGGCCACTTGGCCAGGGTCTGCCTCCGCGACTCTGGGATCCCCTGCTGTGCGCGGCGATAACAGCAGATGGTGATAAGCTAAGGGCTTGGGCCGGGGCCGGGGGGGGGGGGGGGGGGGGGGGGGGGGGGGGGCGGTGGTGTGATCATTACCCCAGGCGGAACACTCCTGGGGGCGGGAGAGAAAGGGGTGGCTGGGAGTCTGGGGGGCAGCGGGCTCCCAGAGATCAAGGAGGTCGTGGGGGGAATAGGGACTTTGCTGCCTCTGCCGGCAGAGACGCGACCCAGACTCCTCGGGCAGGACTACGAAGGCAGGTCCTCCGGCGGTGCCAGGGCCGAGCTGGAGCCGCTGTCCAGGCCGGGGCTTGGAGGGCTGCCGGGCGAGGGCGTGGCGGTGCAGGGGGTCCCAGAGAGTGGTGTGTCGGTGCTCAGGGAGGAGGGCGTCCCGGAGCGCGGGGCCCTGCGGGGCCTAGCAGGCCCCAGCTCCACTCGCCCCACTCGCTCGGCGAACTTGAGCGAGCACACGGTCTCGCCGAGATCCTCGGGCCGCGTGGAGACCTGCGGGGAGCGGCGCTGGTGGGCGGGCCCGGGTGGGCGGCGCCTGGCATGCAAACGACCCTCCCGCGGGCCGCGGCCGCCTGGCCCCACCTGCAGCAGCAGCACAGCGGTGGCGCCGGGGCCCAGTGCGGGCTGCAGCAGGCGCGTGAGCTGCGAGTCGCGGAAGGGCACGTGTGGCCGGCGAGCCCGCAGCGCGGCCATCACTCCTCCCAGCGCCAGCAGCGAGCGGTTGATGGTCCGAGCCTCCCGCAGACGCTGAGCGCCGTCCCGGTCTTCATGCGACGTGCCGGCCGCCCCTGCCTTCCAGGCGCGCTCGGACCCTGCCAGGTCCACTAGGTGCAGCGTGCCTGCAGGGGCGAGCGAGCCCGGCGTGGAGGGAGGCCCGGTCTCGGGTGCAGCGAAGCCCCCCGCAGGACTCAGACGCCGAGTACCTGCGGTGCCGGGACCGCTTGATGGGGACGCCGTGCGCAGCGTCAGCGTGACCAGGGCGTGCGAACGAGAGCTGTGCTGGTTCATGGCTGTGGCGGCGGTGGCCCGGTTGCTCCTCCCCAGGTTCAGCATCTGGAGGACGGAGGACAGGGCTGGCCTGCTGCGGCGTCCGCGGCCCAGGTGGGAGTACAGGGCGGGGGCTTGGAGGGCTGCGTGGCCCCACCGGGCACCCTCACCTGGTGCAACGACTCCAGATTGGGCACGTCCCAGTGGGTGAGGCCAGCCACCTGGATCCCCCCTTCGCCTGCTGGGCCCTGCCTCACTGCCAGGCGCTGGGGAGGCCCTGGGGCTAGGAGGTCCCTGGCGAAAAGGGGGAAGGCTCTGTTGGGGGTTCTGAAGGGCGGAGCCATAAGTTGGGGCCCTGGGCGGGGAGGAGGCACTGTTTGCGGCCCTGACCTGACAGCCTCGTTGTAGATCTCCACCATGCTGAGGGTCACGTGGTGCTGTCCCCCTGTTCCCATCTCCCGGAACAGTGACTGCAGCGCCCTAGGAGCTATGCCAGGGTCCTCAGGTGGGCCCTGGGGAGGGGGTGGGGTGCCTCATCGGGCTCACATCCCAGCCCCTGGCCCCAGGAACCACCCAGACTGCCCCCTTTCCCACCTCCATGCTGTAGGTCTTTCCCGTCCCTGTCTGACCGTAGGTGAAAATGCAGACACTGTAGCCTCCGAGGCAGGACAGCACAGCCGACTCCAGCTCCCTGAAGACCTAGGGGTAGGAGGGGTTGGGAGGGGCCCTAAGCCCCAGGACCTGGGGCAAGGTGTGAACAAAACTTGATTCCCCTGGAAGGAGGCTGGCTCTAGGGGAGCACAGTGGAAGAGTGGATCTCCCAACAGACAGGTGAGGCTCCCTGGAGAAGGTGGCATTTGCCAGAATTTGCCAGGCAAAGTAGGGAAGGGACGTGACAGGGAGCAGGAACAGGTGATGCAGAGTATTGGAATCCTGACGATTGACTGCTTGGAAGGCTTGGGGGTGTAGCAGGCAAGAGCCCAGACCCTGGGCTTGATGGCCAAGTTCAAACCCTGGGTGTGACTGGAGGCAAGTCACTCATCTTGCCCTCTGTGAGATGAGGGCTGTAGTGACACCTGTTGTGAGGATTAAGTGAGAATGCAGACCAAGAGAACTAGTGCAGCACTTGGCATGTGAAAGATGAACCCAGAGGGTCCCATGTGTGGAGGCTGGTGGGCAACCAGGATCCTGGAAGTCGGGCCCTGGGAGGGTGCAGAGAGGCAGGTGAAGGGGAGATGGAGCTGGGACTTGCGTCCTTTGGCAACTGGACACCAACAGCAGCCTCTTGAGCAATGACACAGTCGGCCAGCTTTTGTGCCCAGAAGGTGGCAGGTAACCACTGGGCTGTCAGATCTCTTTGAAATTTTGGTTGCCAGCTACGAGGGCAGAATCCAGAATTGCCAGTGAGGTTGCTAAGATTCCATGACTAGAAAGGAGCGTCGGGGGCACTACTGCAGAGATGGGGAATACAGGTGAGGGAGCCCAGTAACAGCCCTTTGGCTCTTTCAGCCAGAAGTGGAGGACCCTGTCTAGGAAGGCTACCCAGAGGACAGTAGACGAGGGGGCCCTGTTCAGGGCTGCAGTTGGGATGGAGGCTGCAGACAGGGTGGGGGTGGTATGGGGGGTAAATAGAGGTAGGTGAAAAACGGCCGCGGTGCCCCAAAAAGTGAGGAAGGGAGTACCTGCCAGGCACTCTCATCACAGTCCGTCCCCGTGAGGCCAGCACAGGTCTGGGTCTCCGATAGCTCTGCCCCTCGCCTCACCCCCTCCCAGCTCTCAGCCTTGTTTCCTGAGCTCTAGTTGCAAGTTGGTGTGCAGTGAAGATAGTGTGCGGGAAACGAGGCAGCGGGGGCCTGGGGTTGGAAGCTCACCTGTGCCCCCCCCCCACTCCCCTTGCCAACAAAGCAAGGAGAGCTACCCACCCTCAGAGCTGACCATCTCTGGACCCTGGGCCAGGGGAGTGGGCAGCCAGTGAAGCCTGTGGGAAGGAGGTCACAGTACTGACCTCACAACAACAACAGCACCCCAGCCATGCTCCACAGCCCCCTGAGTAACCATCACCTCAAACATGTTCATTTTCCTTCGTTTCCTGGCACAAAGTTACTTTTGAAAATGTTAATCTTCCTGTTTAAGCCATAAAGTCTGTCTCCCCCAGCCTGCAGAGTTTGGTGGGGGGATGCAAAGCGGAAATCCTGGAAAGAAAGTAGGTGCCCAGCTAGCATACCAGTCCTGCCTCCCAGACCCTCCGGCTCCCTCCCCTTCCCTGCTGGAGTCCAGCCGCCCTCTCTCCTGGGAGGGCAGACAGACAGGAGCCTTCTCTGGTCTCCAGGGAACTCTGAGTGACAGCTGACACAGGTGAAAGGGTGGAGCATCACCTCCTCCTGGCTGGCGTGTGGAGGGAAGACCCAGTCCAGGCGGAAGCGACGCTGGTGCCCTCGATAGCAGGTGGTGACAGTGCCACCCGGGCCGGGCTCTAAGCTCACCAAGTTGGAGGGTGTCCCTGGCCTCAGCCGACAGAGCACACGGATGTTTCCTGGGGTGGAGATCAGATCAGGGGGCTGCCTCCAAGATCCTGAAGCATGGAGAGCCCCCATGTCCCCCACCTCTGCTGCCCCAGCCCTTTTCTTCCCAAGCCTGCCATACCCTTGAGCTCCAGCAGCCGCCCTGGGCATCCAGTTGGGGGCCCCTGCTGTGCCTCCAGGAGTTGAGTCCCAGCCCCGCCCGCTGACAGTGCCCCCAGGGCCCACGATACCTGGGGGCACAGAAAGGTGAGGAAGGGGAAGGCAGTGGGAAGAGAGCGAGGGATGGGGTGCTGAGGGCAATATCCACCATGTGGCCCCCAGCTGTGGGGATCCACAACTTTCAGTGGCTTCAGACCCTTGGGGCGTCATTCAGTGGGCCTGGGATGGAGCTCAGGGACCCGAGGAGGACCGTGGGCTTCCTGGCAATCCTGTGAGGGATTCACCGTCACCCCAGTTTGCACAGAACACAGTTGTTCTGGTTCCAGAACCTAAGATTTGCAGTAGACAAGACAAGACCCTGGGGCTGCAAAGGAAGGGAGAGCAGGGGTTCCCCAAGGGAAGGCCAGTGACGAGGCTGCACAGAGAACAAGTGCAAGGGAGGGGAGCGAGTGGTCCTGACCTGGCCCCGGGCTTCGCTCAGCGAACCCTGGCAGCTCTGGGTAAAGGTGCTGACCAGTCCTCGGAGGTCCCCACAGCCCTGACGCAAGCTGGCCATGCGAGCACGAAGTCCTGGGGGCAGGAAGGCTGTTGTGAGGGAAAGCCCAGACCCCACAGCCTTCCCATGAGCTCCGGAGCCCAGCCCTTACCTGCCAGCTGCCCGCGCATCTGCTGCAGCTCCCTCCTGCACTTCTGCTCAGCCTCCTGCTGGAGCTGCCGGAGGGCCCCCCGAAGGCCCTGAAGCTGCACCTCCTGCACCCCTAGCTGCCCCACCCAACCCCAGCCCTGTCACTGAGGAAACAGGCACTTACCAGGCTCTGCCTCAGACACCCCCTCCCCAGAGCCCCAGACTTCCCAGCCCCTGGGCCCAGAGCCCACCTGGACTCGGAGAGCTTCTGTGGTGTCCTGGGCCTCTTGAAGCCGGCCCCGGAGCTCCAGCAGTGCCTCTGCCTCCTCCTGTTCCTGCAAGGGGAGTGGGGCAGCTGAAGTGTGGAGCCAGGAGGAAACTCAGGGAGGGGCACTCCAGCTGCTGCGCCGTTTTACAGATGAGAAAGTCAAGTCGACAGGGGCTCACAAAGCTGGTCACACACCCGCCTCCCAATCCATGCAGGGCTCCTTTCCCCACGTCTCTCTGCTCTCCTGGAGTCAGTCACTGGGAGAAACCATGGACTGAAAGGAGGGGATCCTCCCATAGGCATCAGCCTCCTTGAAGGGGCTACCGTGCATTTGCCACCCACAGTCCGGGCCTCAGGTCTGAAGGGTCAGAGGGGGCTCCCTGCCTCTGCTCCAGTGAGCACAAGGTCCTGAGAAAGCCCAGGTGGTGTTGCTAGAGACCAGGGTGCAGGAGCCCCGGGCTGCAGGGACAGTGGCAGCTAAGGAGCAGGATACCTGGGGGGCCCTGTTGGGGGGGGCGGGGCCCCAGTGCAGCAGGAGGTCCCGAGTAAGGCTCAGGCTCTGTTTCAGGGCCTTGTTTTCCAGAGTCAGATGCTGAACCCTTTTCTCCGAGTCTGTCGCCCCCTGGGAGAGAAGGAAGCCCTCAAAACTCACCTGGAGGCTGAGACCCTCTCATGTCCCCCTTGTCCAGCCCCCACCCCAGCAGCCTCACCACTCCCACACGCAGCTGGCCCAGCTCCTTCTCCTGCAGTTCCAGCTGCTGCTTCAGCTCTTCCAGCTGGAAAGGAGGAAAGAGCACCGGGTGGAACACCTCCTTCCAGTCCCCTTCCAGACCCCCCATCCCCCCACTGCCTCCTGGGCCCCTCACCTGTCCAAGGATAAGCTGTTCCAGCCGCTGCCAAGCTCTCTGGTCTTCCTCTAACTGAGGAGGCTGCTGCCCCTGGGCCTCACCCCTTGGTGAAACGGGAGGGCTTTCTTCTTGGGATGGGGATCCTGGGGTGGGGTGGACCCAGTTAGGACAGAAGAGCTCTCTGGCCTGAAGGAAGGGACACCTCACATCTGGCTGCTAGGGTTCTGGTGGGCGTCACTCCCTGGACAAACTCTCTCTTCAACTCACTACTCCTTACGCACCAGCAGGAGTGGGGGGCTGCACCCCTGAGGCTGGCTGCGTCGCCTGGGGCAGGACCTGCCTCCCCCTGGGGCTCCGAATCCATGCCAGGAGGGCCAAGAGCTGACCGGTCACCGTCAACAGTGGGGGAACATCACCAGGCTGGGAAAGAAATAGAAATCCAAGTGGAAAAGGATGGGGGCTGGGTGGAGAGGATACAGGGGTATGGATGGAAATCAGTAGGCCTGAGAACACAGAACAGGTTGCCGTAGAAATCTCAACTCTGCTTACCTTGCTCAGGTCGGCAGAATTCCCGAAGCTCTCTTCCGCCCCCAGCTGGACTGAGAGGAACTCCGCAAGACGCACGAGAGCCTCCTCCAGTGAGACCTCGGCCGGACGGCCCTCCGCTGCCCCTCCCGGCCCATCCTCGGACTCCGAGCAGCCTGCGAGGGAGTGGGATGGGTAGGCGTGCTGGGTCACGTGCCGGATGCTAGGCCACTAGCCGGCACCTGCCAGCTCACTCCCTCCCAATGAGGGCACGGGCACCCCTGCATCTCTCGGACGGCGGCGCTCCCTCGTTGCCCCGGGAGACGCAGCACTCCCGATGCACCAACAGTACGTACCGACCAGGCCGGTCAGCTCGGTCCACAGCTCTGCGGTGGGCTGGTCGGGGCGGCGGCGACCCCCGGGCTTGCCGCGGGCACTCTAGGGAGGGAGCGGGGGGGAGTCCCTGAGGCGAGGCCAGGCAGCCCATGGGGCTCCCTGCCTCCGAGAACTGAGCCCGAGGGGTTGGAGCCGGGCTCTCAGCTTCCAACACCAGAGACGGGGTCCTCGGCACGGCCCCTCCCCCGCGTCAGCGCCCCGGGACCTACGCAGCGCCGGCCTGCAAAACCGTTCTCCGGAAGGGGGTCGCCGGCCGAGCTGCGCCCGCCCCCGCTCACCTGGGCGGGGTTCCCAGGGTCGGCGGCCGCCGCGGCCCCGCCATCCCTGCGAAAGAGGCTGTAGAAGATGTAGATGAGCAGCGAGTAGAAGGCGTACATGAGAGCGCGGGGCGGCAGAGGGCCCCGCTTCGCGCCGCCCCGCGTCCCCGCGCCCCAACTCCGCGCCCGACCGCTGCAGAGCCCGTGCGCATGCTCTGGCGGCCGCCCCCTCGGTACGGCCCCGCACCTCCTCTTCCAGAATCCCTACCGGTCCTCTGCGAAGGACCCTCGCGCGGCTGTACCCACCCAGAGCCTTCCGCCCGCAGGTGTCCAACCTTTTTTCCCCTCAAGCCCCTTTCTCGGCCCCTCCCCTCATCGCCGCTTCCACCAAGCGCTCCCCTCTCCGAGCCTTCCCTCCCGCCCCTTCCTCCGACCCCTCCCCTCCGCCTCCTTCTCGGCCCCTTCCTCCAACCCCTCCCCGCGCCGCCCTCCCCTCCCCTCAATACCCTTCCTCGGCCCCGCCCCCTCCTCAGCCCCTCTCCTTACCGCCCCTTCCTCCAACTCCGCCCTACGTCCTCCTCGGCCCCTTCTTCCAACCCCTCCCCTCAATGCCCCTCTCCTCACCGCACCTTCCTCCAATCCCTCTCCCCCTCCCCGACTCCTCCCTCACCACTCCTTCCTCAGCCCCTCCCCTAGAAACCCCTCCTCTCGCCACCCTTTCCTCGGCCCTTCCCCTCATCGCCCCTTCCTCCAACTCCGACCCGCCCCTTCCTCCAACCCCACCTCTCACTGCCCCTCCCCTCACGGCTCCTTCCTCGAGCCCCTTCCCTCCCCCCAAACCAGCGGGCTTGTGCGTCCAGTACCAAGCAGAGACCCCTCCTCCTAGCCCCGCCCACTCTTACAACCCAGTCTAGCTCTCCTCCACGCCCGCGACGCCCCGGCCCCGCCCCCCTCCGGCCGCTCTAGCCTCCGCTCCTCTCGTTGGTTGGCGCGGGAGGCGGAGCGGCAGGCAGAGGGCGGCGCGGTGGGCTGATTTGGGCCTCCGCTCGGCGCTGCGCCGGGGTCGCGCAGCTCAGCGGTCTCTGAGTGCCTGCGCCGTCACTCTTTCCGGGCCGGGTTCCGAGGACGGCGCCTCCCCGAGCGTGGGGCCCTGCGCCCCTCTCCCCCAGGCCCTGCGCCGACTTGGGTTCCAGGACGCCAGAGCTAACGCCCACCCAGTCCAGGCCCCGCACCGTCTTTTCCCGGCGGATTTAGGTTCTTCTTCCCCAAGGTTGTGTCCAGTGGCCTCACGGCTCCTGTGAGTTTCGGATGAGCCCATAACAATATTTAGAAATGGGGTTCTGGAACCTGGGAATCCTGGAGAGACACCCTTAGGGCCCCCTGTCGCCGGCTTCTACGTTCTTCTCCAAAGTTGAGGATCCCTTTCCCGTTCCCTCAGACTCACTACCGCCCGACGTGTCATGGCCCCCAGGCCAGGGCGCGAGTGGAGCTCCGCCCTGTCCCACCTGGCGCTGGGATCAGTGTCTCTGTATGCAGCTCTGAGCACTGCCCAGGTGAGTACACTGGGGCCGGGCAGGGGCGTAGCCCACTCCCAAATCCCTAGAGGGTGGTGGGAGGTAAGTGTGGGGGCCCGACTTCTGTGAGACCTTCAGACCCTTCCCTGTTTAAAGGGAGGTCCTGGCCTCTTTTTCCCACATCTCCCTTCCCTGTGTTGACAGGCAAATCGAGGGGCCGCTGCTGGCTTCCTGCTCCAGGCCCTGGCTGCTGCCACCATGCTGGCCCCAGGGCTGGGCACAGATGAAGACTGTCTTGCTGGAGCCTGGGTGGCCACTGTCATTGGCCTGCCCCTCCTGGCCTTCGATTTCCACTGGGTGAATGGGGACTGCTCCTCCGCCAACCTGCTCCTGGGAGGAGGCATGGTCCTGGCAGTGGCTGGTGAGCACCTTGGTGCTGAGGGCCGCTCTGTGGCTGAGCAGGCAGTGGTGCTGGTGGTCGCAGTGACCATCCTCATTGTGGCTGTTTTCACGACCAACACTTATGGAATGTTGGGGGGGGTGATGCTCGGCGCCGCAGGCCTCCTGAGCCGGCTGGAGGAGGACAGACTGCTGCTGCTGCCGAAGGAGGACGTCTGTCGCTGGGCTCTGGCCGGAGGCAGCTGGGCCTACCACCGGGCCCTGCACACACAGCGCCTGCAGTGGGGGTGATGGTTGGGGACAGCAAGGCGAGGCTTCTGCCCTGGCTACCACTTTCCCCTCATGGTCCTGCTCCTAGGGCCTCCTCCTCTAGGGAGAGACTCTCCTTCAACCGAAGCCAGCTTGATGCAGAGTGACTGGTCAGGGTGCAGAGTCTGGGTACTATCTCCTTCTCTAGCACAGTGTGAGGACTTGCCTAGACCAAAATGAGGGGGACTGGGTCCCGGGCATGTTTCGGGGCCCGATTCTGGGTGGGCCATAGTTGTGGATCCAGAGAGAGGCTTGGTCTCCAATAAACCTTAGGGATTTAGCAGGAATATGGACTCTGCCTATTCTTGAGTCGGATTGAGAGGGCCTCCAGTGAGCTTCCTAAGGCTCCCAGGGCAGCAACTGGTTTCCCTGAGCAAAGGAAGGCAATGTGCTGGAACCAACCCTGGGGGCCTCACTCAACTTGGCCTGCCGGCACCTTTGTAAGGAGGACCCCTGGACTGAGAAGATACAGGAGCCCTTGCTCTCCTGGAACACGGTGGAGTTCTGAATATCCTTGCAAGGTCTGGCTGGTGGCCCTATGGGGCAGTGACCTTAACCGGCCGCCGGCTGGGGTGGGGCAGGGGAGGGCCGTACCACAGCTGTTCCCAGAAATGTACATCCCCTCCCAGGGCTGACTCGACCTCTACCCGTTTGCCCACCGGCCTGTGCAAGGCAAGTCCTGATTTCCTAAGACCCTCGCTTTCCTCAGCGGACCCCTCTTCAGCTCCCAACCCCAGGGTTATGAAACGGGATTGGGCAGAGCAGTGGATTAGATTCCGGGTCCAGAGTCCTCCCTTGGGGAGTCCCTGCACTCGCGTCCTGTGGAAGCACATCTCTTCCCGCACAGGAGGGGAGAGGTGGCCGGCAGTTTCTCGCTCCGGCCAGCCAGGCCAGAGCCCCGCGCACGCTAGCCTGGGCGTCCGGGCACAAAGGCGCAGGCACATATGGACGTGGGGGTCCAAGGTTGCCCTCCGTTCCGGGGCACCCAAGGCGTGTGGTCCCGGGCCGGACTGGCGGGAAGCACCGCGCTCAGCCCTGACACCAGGACTATTCGGGCCTCAAAGATCGCCCCTCAGCGGGTCGCCCGGGGCCCCGCCCACCTTACGCAGGGGCGGGCCCTCGCGTGCCCATTGGTTCTGGCCGTCGCGCTGTCTCCCCGAGCGGCCTTCCCATTGGCCTCGCTCCGCTCACGTGACTGAGAGAACAAGGGGGCGTAGGTGGCGGCGAGGTGGGGGAGCGTACAGGGAAAACAAAGATGGCGGCCGCGCCGGGGTCGGTGGCCGCGGCGGCTGCGGGGCGACGCGCGGGCCGAACCCACTGAGGCGGCAGCGCAGGGAGCGGGGCTGCGGGGTCGCGGCGGCGGCGGCGAGAGGGCGGAGGGAGCGCGCGGCGCCCCTAACCTCTAGCCGCGGGAGCGCGCCGGCACCCGCCCGCCGGGCCGGCCGGCCGCGATGTCCGGC